CACCCAGGAAATAGAGAATACCAGACAAAAAGACTCATGTGCAGAAGAATGGAGTCATGTGAGGAGAAAAAAAAATGATAGAAAGATAGTGACGATGGACTGGAAAACAAAAAACGAAAAAATTTGTTGAGAATCCAGGCTGCCACAACCTGATGATCAAAATATTAGTGAATGAGAGACGTGATGATAGAATAGAGCAATAGAGGAAGAGAAGAGTTAGGGAGAAAGACGTTCTATGAATGGATGGAGCTGACTAACATGATACCACCATGTGTAACCTGAGGAAGGATCCTGTACAAGATAATTCTGCGTTCCTGAGATATCGAGAATTGGATAGGGACCAGAGCGACGAGAAGTTAGTTTAGTGCGACCACCAGTAACATGGACATAAATAAGATCACCGACATGATAAGAAGGGTTACGACGGTTACGATTATAGCGCTGTTGCCATTGGGACTGATGATAAAGGATATTTCGGCGAGCCGCAGAAAGAAGAAGACGACGAGTTTGTTGTAGATATGGATAAAAAGAATGGAGAGGAGGAAGGTTAATAGTGGGAGAGGCGGCATCAAAAGGGCTTTTAGGACGACGACCAAACGCGACTTCATAAGGCATGAGCTGAGTAGTAGAGTGAACACTAGTGTTGTAAGCATAGACAATAGACGGAAGGTATAGATCCCAATCATGACGATCGGGATGACAGTATTTGGCAAGCTGAGCGGAAAACGTAGCGTTAAAACGCTCAACTTGACCATTAGTTTGTGGATGATAAGCGACAGAAAAGGTGTGAGGGATCTGCATGGAAGAAGTAACGGCGCGCAAAAGAGTGTTGTTAAAGTGTGTACCATTATCAGTTAAGAGACGTTCAGGAGCACCATGGAGGAGGATAAAACGATCAATAAGGAATTGAGCAGCGGAGCGAGCGGTACAATCAGGAAGTGCCTGTGCGATGACGTATTTGGACAAGTTATCAGTAAGAACTATGACATAACGATTACCGGAAGCAGAAGGTGTTAAAACAGGACCCCAAAAATCTAGGTGCAACAGTTGAAAGACACCAGATGGTGGATCGATCGAATGAAGGTGACCGGGAGGCTTAGTGCGGAGTATATTATGACGTGCACAAGAAGAGCAAGAGGCAATGTAGTGTTGAATGCTAGAGCGCATGTTGGGCCACCAGAATTTATCGCGAACGCGCAAAAAGGTGCGGTGTACACCAAAATGACCACTAATTGGATGATCGTGATAAAGACTAAGCACTAAGGGTATGAGAGATGTAGGAAGATAAGGAATGCGAGATGGAGAATCAGAGGGAGAGCGAGAAACAAGGCGGAAAAGAGTATCGTCGTGTAGGACTTATTGTGAATGAGAAGGTTGTTGACGCAATTGATTAATAAGAGTCAGACTATTGGAATCAGAGTGTTGTTCGTGTTTAATACGAGAAAGACTGAGATCTAACGACGTATCATGAGAGATGTTGGTGGAACGAGTAGAAGAAGAATTTGAAGGAGCTGCTGGGGCAAGAGCACCAACAAGTGGTGGAATCGAATCAGATGTAGTAGTTGGAGGATGTGCACGAGTTTTGGAGCGAGTAACAACAGGAGCAACGACGATGGGATCCCAAGACTCAGTGCCGGGAGGCCAATCAGAATCAGAAAGAGCAGTAGAACATAAAGAAGATCGAGGTGGTAGTGGGGCAGGAGTAACTGGTTGTTCATCTGAAAGTGGAGGTGTGGATAAGGTTTCGTAACGAGTAAGGAAATCCGGACCGAGATTATCGATACCGCGACGATACTTAATTGAAAGAATCTGTGGCAGAAGATCTTGAAGTTTTAGTAGCCAATTATCAATGCGTTTATTACGAAGGGTGTACTTTTTATGCATATTCGCGAGAGGTTGATGATCAGTTTCGATGACAATAGAGGAAGTACCAATACAAGGACGCAACTGCTCCAGGCACCAACATATAGCAAGAGCTTCGCCTTCTGTGGTAGAATAGCGTTGTTCAGTGGTAGAAAGTAATCGAGATTTGTAGTAACAGATCTTAAGACCAGTGGGAGTGTCTTGTTTAAGAACACCAGCAATACGAGTCAGACTAGCATCAGTTGAAACTATAAAAGGTAGAGAAGGATCCGGAAAGTGGAGAAACAAAGGATCAGAAGTAAGGATCTTTTTGAACTGCTCGAAAGCAGTTTGTTGTTCGGGGTGCCAATAAAATTCGTGCCGTTTGGTACGAGTTTTGTTGGTTACTTTATGTAAAGGAGCTGCAATACGTGCGAAATCAGGAATAAATTTACGATAATAGCCGATCTTTCCCAAAAACCGATTTACCTGAGAGAGTGTACGTGGAGGTGCAATATCAAGAATGACTTGAATTTTGTCGGGTGAAGGTTCAACAGTAGTGGCAGAAACGATATGACCTAGAAACTCAATTTGACGTGCGGCAATAGTACATTTGGAGGGAGAAACTTTGAAATGCGCATTATCGAGTATAGACAAGATCTCATCGACGTGCTGAGTATGCTCTTCAAGAGAATGAGAAAAGATAACGATGTCATCTAAATAAACGACAACGTAATCCCAACGACCTGTAACAAGTAAATTATTCATGACTCGTTGGAAACTAGCGGGTGCGTTAGTTAAACCTTGTGCAAGAACATTAAATTCATAATGACCGTCAGGTGTAACAAACGCAGTTTTCTCACGATCAGCAGGTGCAATTGGAATCTGAAAGTAACCACTCTTTAAGTCAAGCTTCGTGAAATAGCTGTGCCCAGAAAGACGATAAATTAACTCTTCGGCAGAAGGTTGAGGATATGCATCCTTTTTAGTGATGGCATTTAGACGTCGAAAGTCTACTAAGAAACGGAATGTACCATCGGGTTTTTTCTTAAGAATGACAGGTGAGGACCATGGAGAAGTAGACGGGCGGACGAGATTATCAAGAAGCATCTTGTCGATCTCCTTTTGAAGTTCTTTTCTTTGCTCAATAGTACGATAGTAAGGTCGCGCACTCACAGGTGGATGATCACCAGTGATAATAATATGAGGTATTTTCGTATCAGCGATAGTGTGCTCAGATAGATCAAATACGCGACGGTGTTTCTGAAGAATTGGATGAAACGTCTGACGGATCGAATCATCAGAAAGCGGCTCTAATAATTTGTGAATTACAGCTTCCGTATCAGAAAGAGAAATAGCAGAGAGAGTTGGAAAAGAAAGAGAAGAAACGGAGTATTGAGATGGTGAAGAAAAAGAGGTAAGATTGATGGCAGCTGGAGAAGGAGAGAAGAAAGTGAGAGTACCAAGAACAGTATTTTTACGCAACAGACCAGATGTATTAGCAAGATTAGAAAGAAGAAGCGTGGTATGAAATCTGTTAATACGTACAACAGCATCAGGAATAAAAAGGTGTTTATGTTGACAGAATTTGTTATCGGGAGTAAAAATAACTTGAAGAGCAGAAGACAGTGGAGTAGTTAACTGAACAACATGTTCATATGAAGGATTCAATTGAACAGAATGAGCAAGCCGAGCGGGAATTGAAGCATTTTGAAGAAAAGAAACTGAAGATGAGCCATAATGAGGATGCCGAAGATCAAGTTCTTGTTGACCAATACGTATTAGAACATCATATGAGCGACACCAATCCATACCAAGGATCAAATTAATACCCAGAGACTCAACTACATAAGCAGAAATAGATGTAGGAATGTGATTGACATAGATGCACAATTGAGCAACACCTTGAACAGAAAGAGTAGTGGAAGCATCGCCAAGTAAAGCAGAGACAGAAGCATTTTTGATAAATGGGATATTAGGTAGAGTATTGAGGAGAGAACGAGTAATTAATGTATGAGTAGCACCGGTATCAACCATGGCAGAAACTGAGACACCAGAAATATGAGTAGGAATAATAATCAATGATGGATTGGTAGGAAAAGAGGAGGGACGACCATCACGGACCCCCTTTAGATGTTTGGGCGTGATGGACAATGAGTTGAGATATGACCAGGTGAATGACAAGAATAACAAATAACAGGTGGACTAGGGCATTGAGTGGAAATGTGACCAGGTTGTTGACAAGAAAAGCAAATTATAGGACGCCGAGACATAGTGGGAGTTAAAACTGGTGAGTTTATAACTCGAGTTATAACTTTTGAGTTATAACCGATCAAATTTTTAGCTCAAAATTTAATTTAGTTATAACCTTTAGGCGTGGTTATAACTTTTAACCGTGGTTATAACGTTTAACCGTGGTTATAACCTTTAACCATAGTTATAACTTATAGCTGTAGTTAAAACATTTTACCGTAGTTATTGTCGTGTATTTTGTCGACTGCGTAAATCAGAACGTGTTTCTTATCTCTTTAATTGCAATGAGTATAGATTTTCACAGAGCTTCTTTTAAACATAATTTATGTCATTTCAGTATTTGCCAATAGAGAAGGTCGCGGACCTTCTTAGTCCTAGCATCTAACAAATTCTGTATTCATAACGTTTCAAGAGGATTGAAAAAGATTCAGAGCAATTAATAGCCCCGGTCAAAGCGTACGGGCGGGTTCCCACAGGAAAGCGTTAGAATATGGAATCAGTATTCCGAAAATTTCCGGTCGGAATACTGATTCTATGTTCCAATAATTTCCGGTGATTTTCTGCAGGATCCGGTGTTTTTTTGGGCTTTCCTGTATGATCCCGAGGAATCCGGAAGCCGGAACGTTCGACATGGGAGTATCTAAAGAGAGCTATAGAATGGACAATGTCCATTTTATTCTCCTCGATATTGGTTAAAATTTATAATCATGGTTTAAGGTTATAACCGCGGTTGAAAGTTATAACTCCAGTTATAACCATTTTAACTTTTTCCGAATTTTGTCAGCTTAACTTTTCAAAAATTAGTTTTAACTCTCACTTTGTTTTAGCTGAAAATATTCAAACATTAAGTTAATACTTGATGTACTCGATGGCCTTCGATCATGTAGCACTCTGTGTTACAAATAGTAGATCGATAGTAGTTGTAATTGTAGTAAAAGAACATAACTCGGGTTAAAAGTTATAACCATGGTTAAAGGTTATAACCGTGGTTAAAGGTTGTAACTTCAGTTATAACCATTTTAACTTTTTCCGAATTTTGTCAACTTTTAACTTTTCAAAAATTAGTTTTAACTCCCACTATGCGCCGAGAGCGTGGTGTCACATCAGCATCAAAATTGGGAGAGTAGAATGTGGATGATGCTGCAGGTGGTGGAAAATTATTAGTAGCATAGGGTATTGGTGGAGGTATAAGTGGTGGATAAGCTGGTGGAAATGTAGATGGTGAGGAGAATGATGGTGGAGCCCAGTTAGAAGATCGATTAACAGTAGGTAACCATTTATTGCGAGGAACAGTATGATTGGATTCTCGTTTACGAGCATCAAGGACAGCAGTATCAAGCTCAACACGTTGAGCACGACGTAGCAGAGCTTGAGGAGTAACAAACTCTTCTCCTTGAAGACGTTCATACAACTGGAGATTCATACCAGCTTTGAGCCAATCAAGAATTTGTAGATCAGTCATTTCATCATCATGTTTATAACAGAGAGCAAAAATAGCAGTATAATAATCTGTAAAAGATTCCGTAATTCCTTGTTTACGATCACGAAGCAGTTTGAGATTCATGTCACGAGATGTAGTTTCGACATGAGGAAAAGCAGCTACAAGAGCAACACAATAATCGTCCCAACCTTGCAGTTGATCACGATGAGACAAATGCAATTTAAGAGCATCACCAGTGAGATATTGAGGAATGAATCGACGTTTTTGAATGGCAGTATAACCAATCATATCAAACTTTAAAACCACCAAATCAAGCCATTCATGAATATTGCCATGAGGATTACCAGAAAAAACAGGGATAGTATCAATAATCTTTGAATATTGTTGTGCTTCCATAATCACAGGAAGAGGAGAAGATTGAATTTGTGAAAGAGTGGTGTCGTTGGAGATAGAAATAGATCGAGAACGGGAACGGGCAGCGTGACGTTGATTGCGTTTACCAGCTTGAGCAGCAGCACGTTGTTGAGCTTCACGAAGTTCAGCAGCAAGCATATACTAAGAGGGAGGTTGACAACGGAGAGAGTCGATCTGCTGTTCAGTGGTCAGCAGACCGGCCAGTGCACCATTGTGATGATCCTTTATTGATGAAGGAACACGAAGAAAGAGAACATCCATATCATGAAAATGTATGCGCATATATATGAAAAGAATAGATGTAGGATGAAAGAGAATGGAAGAGGAGTGAAGAGGAGAAGAATGAAATGAAGAGGAGAAGAATGGAATGAAGGGGAGTGAAATGTGTTGAGGAGTAGAAGAATCATGGACGAAGTCCATGACATCGAGACACTCAGAAGTTTTTTTGTTAATTTGACGATCTCATTTTGTTTAGCATAGTTAAAAACCTGCGAATTCAAATTTTAACGATTTTGTCGAAGAAACGGAGAAATATGTCTATTTCGCTTGTGATCGAGCTTGAAACCATTGAGAAAAATTCGAATATTTGTAGTCATCAGATGGCGGTTGTTTTCAACACTAAAAACTCTGCAAAATTTTTATTACAATATGTAATAAGATAGAGCGTGGAAAGGTGAATAAAATCGCCTATTTACATACTTTTTTCTGAGAACCGATGAGTAGTTATTTAACAAGTATTAATTCTTTGTTGGTCATCTTTGAGTGACAAAAAAACTAATTTTTTCTAGTATATCACACTTAACTCAGCTAAGAGATGATACCTATGGCTACATTATTTTATATGTTGTAGGACTGCTTCTACTCTAATAGATAGTAGAAAAGTATAGAAAGAATCACATGATCTGCCTGAAAAATGACCTCACACATTTTGATTCGAGCGGTTTTCGAGTGTTTTTTGATAAAAATTAGACCTCATCCCGTTTATTTTCTAGTCTATATTATCAGCAGATCGGCAAGTAAATTTGATATTTAGAATCAGTGTTAATAAATGCCGAAGTGTGGATTATTATCCGAGAGCTATGTGTACTGCAAACTCTGTATCGGTAGATATAGAGATTTCCTAAAAGAATATCAATCTTTTACAATGACTTTGGAAGGACTTAATGAATTAGGCGCATCTTTCAACGCACCTAAGTAAAAATTTCACCTTGATCCGACTCTTCCTCTTAGAGTTATCGCATAAATGGAAACCGACCACATTCATCAATTACAGTAGTGCTCCTATTTTCTGAGATAGTAAAAGGTTCCAAGTGATTATATGGAGAACGAGTAAAAAAATTCTTCGCT